GACCTAAATATGAGAGTAGAGTATAAGCTTGTAACTGACACAGAATAATAAAGTATATGGACTAAGGAGTTTCGTGTACATAGATTCACTTCTTCTCATCAAAGATTAATTATCAGCTGGTTGTAGATTCTTCCCGGACCCTGGGAGGGGACTATTGAGGGGCTGGACCCCCATCAGTCCTTGATACTCCAACAAGACCATACCGACTGCAACAATGCCACACCTCCTAATAGTGCCGCTCCCTATGAGCTTACAGGGCCAATTACATTCAAACTACCATACAAATGTTCATGAGAACCACTGACCAGAAACTGACTTGTTCCATAATTCCATTTGTCCCTCAAATCTTCCCAGTGAGTGCCATGACCCAGCTAATATCCTAGGTCCTAGAGGGTGTATTTATAAACAAAATAGGCAAGTCACTGACATTTAAAATGTATATTCTATTTGAAAAAAGATGACAGCAAATAATTTTAATGACTAAGTGAAGAATCAGATAAGCATACAAAGTGCTACAAGAGAGAAACATAGTAAGGAGGGAAACAAGGAAAGCGGCAGAGAAGGGCAGAGTGCAGCTAACTTCCTTCCCTACAGAAGACACATTGTAATATGAAGAGCAGTGCCACTGTTCTCAGAACAATTCTGGAATCATCTACTGTACTCTTACACCTAACACACTATGAGTTTAATCCCAAACCCCAAGCTCAGCACTCAGGCAGCTTGAGGCAGGTGGATTGCTGGGAGCTTGAGGCCTGACTAGGCCACATAGTGAGTCCCAGGCCAGCCAGAGCTATAGTGAGACTCTTGGGAGTGTAGCTAGGAGATGAGAGAGAGAGAGAGAGAGAGAGAGAGAGAGAGAGAGAGAGAGAGAGAGAGAGAGAGAGAGAGAGAGAGATTCAGAGGGGGCTGCAATGAAACATGACCTTTGAGCAGAAATAAAAAGGCCAAGAGGATGTGAACTAGATACCCAAAGGAAGACTGAGATAGGACAGAAAGATGGGACATGAGAAGGAAACATCTTACTTGTTGGTTTAAAGTCAATAACTTTAATACAACTAACAAAAATGTTTTTGTGAATACCAGTGAACTACTTAAGGTAAAAATGAGTGTGACTAACTACTTAAGGTAAAAATGTGTGTGACTTTTGAGTTTAACATTTTCCCTTCCTTATACAAACCTATATTCTTCTTCAAAGTTCACAAACAAAGTTATAAACCACATTTACAATCAAACCATTTTCTTTTTAACTTCTTTTTCTTTTTGAGATGGGATCTTGCTATATAGCCTAGATAGCCTGATACTTGCTATGTAGACCAGACAGTCCTTGAACTTGTGGTCCTCCTCCTGTCTCAAATGCTGGAATTACAGCTGTGAGCGTGTGTGTGTGTGTGTGTGTGTGTGTGTGTGTGTGTGTGTGTGTCCCAGAATGTCCTCAAACTCACAGAATTCTCCTGCCTCAGCTTCCTGAGTGCTGACAATATATGTATGCACCATAAAACCTGGCTTGAAATGTCTCAATCTCAATATGAACTACTTGTATTAAAAATCATTTTGACCTTTTTTACTTGTTTTCATCTTATCAACCTGTAAAGAAAAGACCAGAAAACAAAGGCCAAATACACGTCATGTTTTATCTTCGTGAGAGTAGTAAATGTGTATCTGAAGGTAAATGGAGCTGTGTGGACGTTTTAAGAACCTGTGTTTATTCTTAGAAGCAACAAGAACTTAACACAAGCCTCTCTGAAAGCTACTGACTGGGGCAAGTCAGCCAAGCCAGCCTAGTGACTGACAGTCTCACACCAGATTCCAGGCTGGAGATGTGGTAAGAAGTCACTGGACTCTGGACACGTTTACCTTTCTTTTGTTTTCTTTTCCTAGGTGTACTTAAAGAAGAGTGAACACAATTAGCTAACAAAGTGGACAAAAAGCCTTGAGAGAAAGAGAAAAAAAACCCTAGCTGATAAAACTATAAAGATAACCACTGTTCTTCTGATGCCATGGACCCACAGAACAAAGGACATGGAGTTTGTTACAGATGTATCACAGTAAACAACTTCCTCTCTCTAGAGAAGATACAATGTAATATGAAGAGCAGTGTCACTATTCTTAGAACAATTCTGGAATAATCTACTGTCTCCTGCCCCCACATTTCTGCTCAGGGTTACTGAACAATGCCACAAACATTCCAAGAAATTCAGTCTTCCTCCCAAGGACTTCCAAAGAAAATCCAAACAAAACATTTCAACTACATTAGAATTACCATGACCAATATAAATCTCCAATATATTCTGACGGTTTTATTTTGCTGTCAGTAATTTTTGATTAGTACTAGATCATCAATATGGGTTTTTTTTTTTTTTGAGTACTGTAAAGGAATCAAAAGCATTCTTCTAACTGAGCAGTATCCTCAAATGAATGATGTTTTTAAGAATTTGTTTCTTTTTATTATGTATATGCATGTGAGTGCAGTTGCCCTAGGTGGCTAGAGGCACTGAAGATGGAGTTACAGGCGACTGTGAGCCACCCAACATGGGTGATTGGAGTTGAACTTGAGTCCTCTGCAAGAGTAGCCATACTCTTAACCACTGAGTCACTTCTCCGGTCCCTGAAGATGAGTCTTTCCTTTTTTTTTTTTTTTTTAAGATTTTTTTTTGTGTGTGTGTGTACATGCATGTCTTGCTCATATGTATGTCTATACACACGTGTGTCTGGTGCCCATGGAAGTCAGAAGAGGGTCTTGGAGCCCCTGGAACTGGAGTTATGGACAGTAGTGAACTGCCATGTGGGTGTTGGGAATTGAACCTGGATCTCTGCAAGAGTAACACATTCTCTTAACCATTGAGCCATCTCTCCAGCACTCAGGATCTTTTTGTTGTTGTTGTTGTTGTTTGTTTGTTTGTTTTTTTGCAGCTGAGGACTGAACCCAGGGCCTTGTGCTTGCTAGGCAATCGCTCTACCACTGAGCTAAATCCCCAACCCAGCAGCACTCAGGATCTTAAAAGCAACTATTTAGAATAGGAAATGACCTTGGAAAACACATTGAAGATATGCAAATAAAAGTATTTTAAATCTTTAAAACAGTGTAGCTGTGTCCTTCCTCTAGGATTCTAGGAATGGAGGCTGGCTTACATAAACCAGGACTTTGGTACAGAGATTACTCACCTGGGTGTGGTGACGCTGCTGTGGCCCATAATAAATATAATGATGTATCACCAACTCTCTTTGGACTCTATGAAATGTCACTGTCTGCCTGCCAAACAGATTATTAGTTTGGCTCCCATAAATTTTCAGAACCAAAACATCTACATAAGAGACTATCACAAATTTTTAAGAGTGCGTTTCAAGTCACACACAGCTACATAAAAACTACCAGCTGGTAAAGGTTTGGATTTCAGTCAGGTTCTCCTAAAGGGCTAAGCTTCGCCATCTCAAAAACTGGGAATGATCATGTTTCCCCTAGAGCTGTTTCTAATGTACTTTCCTCATTGTTAAAAGATGTGTGTGTGTGTGTGTGTGTGTGTGTGTGTGTGTGTGTGTGTGGGCGTGCAAGTGTTGATGGAGCCCAATAGAGTGTCAGATCCCCTAGGAATGGAGTTATAAATGGTTATGAGCAATCCACTGCTGGTGATGGTAAGTGAACTTTGATCCTCCGTAAAAGTAGCAAATGCTCTTACTCAATCCCTCAGCCCCTTCATTCCTTAAATGTATCTACAGAGGGATACATTACATTGCTTGGTGGTCACATTCACTCTGAGTGCTAGGAATGCTCAATTTATGTTAGTAGAACAACTACTGACATTGTAGGACCCTGGAGATGGCTCACTAAGAGCCACAGATAATTTCCAAGACCCATAAGGTGGAAGGAGAAGACCAGCTCTGACAAGTTGTTTGTAGAACGCCTACCACTGTGTGGTAGCTGTGTCCTTTCTGCCTTTTAACAGTCTATTGTATTCCTTTCTCCCTAAATTATTAGGATTGAGTTTTAATATTTATTTACAAAGTTTCCAAAATAGTGTCTTGGAATAGCCAAGGCTGTATATGTTCCTCATTTTAAGGCGGGCCACATAACTAATGGATTTAAATTTGTATGTGGTTGGCATAGAAATAAAAACTGCCTTGCTTTCCCAGCACTTCCTATTTATTAGTTGCTTGATGTTTTTGAGGCATTTAGAACACTTCAGATAATAACGAATGCCCAGTTAGAGAACAAATTTACCAATACATGTATTCCTCAAAATACGACCTTTTTTTGAGACAGGGTTTCACTGTGTAGTCCTGGCTGTCCTGGAGCTCACTCTGTAGACCAGGCTGGCCTCGAACTCAGAGATTCTCCTGCCTCTGCCTCCTAGGTGCTGGCATTAAAGGGATGCGCCACCACGCCCTGCCAAAATTTGACTTTTCATAAAGTCAAACTGTATCACATGCAGCCTAAAGGGGAGAAAGCGTTCCCCTTGGGCATGAGAGTTGGGTTAGGGAGAGGCTTCGGTCGCTAGACTTCCTTCAAGGTCGGCAATGAAGCCCTCACTGAAACCTGGAGTCACTTGGAATTATAAAAAGGCAGCAACAGTTTGGCTCAGTTTCCCCGGAAACCACAGGAGGGCCTCCGGTAGTCCGAAAGTGCTCGGCATCAGAACCCACAAGAAGCCAGCAACCGAGAGCCTCGGACCTCACGCGCCGCGCGCGCCCGCCGCTGGGCGGAACCTGGGCGGCGCGCGCTTCCGGTGCGCGCTTCCGGCCAGCGGCGGAGCGCGGGGCGGGGGCACCGCCGGCTTCCAATCGCGCACAATGAGACGGCGCTGAGCGCCGGAAGTGGGGCCGAAGGAAAACACGGAGAGGAGCCGGGCCCGGACAGGAAGCGGCGGGGGACCGCAGCGGCGCTGGTGAGTGCTCCGGGGCGCCGTCTCGTCGCGTCCCTCCCGGACTCGCCTCCGGGCTGGGCCCTTGGGTTCCCCCGGCCCCGAGGAGCTTACTGCCCGGCCCCGAGGTACGTTGGCGCCGTCCTTCTCGGGCCGCCTCGGCCCGGCTGCGCGCCCGGAGCCCTCGGGTTCGAGTCCGTGTCTTCACTTTGTGTCGGGGCTCCGGCCCTGGCCGGGGAGACCCCGGAACCCTGTCAATGGCCGAGTGCTTCCTGCTTCCTAGTCCCCGCGGCGGCTTCAGAGCCAGTAGCGCGGTGCCGCTGCCTCCATCGCCTGGGGACTCCGCTTGTGGAAACTGAGGCACACAGGGGTGGGGCAGCCGAATGGGGAAGGAAAAGGAGTGGCATTCTGCGGAGGATTGTGGTTGGTGTCGAAACCGGACTTGTCTGGGGCTGGGGACTAAGAAATCGGGTAAGTCAGCTGGCGTTATCCCTTGGTCGCAAGCTCGGCCCCTTAGAGTGAGTGTGGTACCTTGCTGGCAAGTGTTGCCCCTTCGTCCAGCGGTCGCGCCGGGTCTGAAGTGAAAAGTAAAGCAAAGAGAGGGGTTGATTTAAATGAAATCTGTTCACATAGTTTCAGCTGCTTTGACACTTGAAAGTAATTGCCAACTTTTTTTTTTAATAGACTTGGGAGAGTTTTGTAACAGTGTTGACTTAGGATGTTTACTTTGAAGAGAGGTGTTTTTGTTACATAGAAGCTAAGTTGCTACATTAGTTTTTGAGGTTATAGAAGCACCTTCCTATTTAGTCAGAATATTAAATGACTAGGTTTTGTTTTTGTTTGTTTGTTTTTAATGAAAGATGTAGGGCTAAGCCTACTAACTTCTGGAATTCACTAATTATTAGCAATGTAATTGCAGTTTTATTTTTATTTTATTTTATTTCCTTGGTTTTTCGAGACAGCGTTTCTCTGTGTAGCTTTGCGCCTTTTCTGGAACTCACTCTGTAGCCCAGGCTGGCCTCGAACTCACGGAGATCTGTTTGGCTCTGCCTCCCGAGTGCTGGGATTAAAGGCATGCGCCGGCACCACCGCCACCACCACCCGGCTAGCAGTTTTATTTTTTTAAGTGGGGAAAATAAGTCTTCAGGGCATCAGTGTGTTACTTTGAGTATTTGGTATGATGGCATTTTATAGTTTGTTTCTCCTGAAATGCTTTCTTCCAGGTACAAAGTAAGAAAATTAAAGTTCAAGACCATGGGAGATACAGCAAAACCTTACTTTATGAAGCGCACTAAAGACCGTGGAATTACTGATGATGATGATTTCAGAAGGGGTCATCCCCAACAAGATTATTTAATAATGGATGATTATGCTAAAGGCCATAGCAATAAAATGGAAAAAGGCCTTCCAAAAAAAAAGATAGCACCCGGGAACTATGGGAATGCCCCCAGGAAAGGACCATATGCTGTTTCCAGCAATCCCTATGCATTTAAAAACCCAATTTACAGTCAGCCTGCTTGGATGAATGACAACCACAAAGATCAAAATAAGAGATGGCTACCTGATGAACTTACTAGTAATGCAGATAGCTGGAGAGAGTTCAAGCCTGGACCTAGGATTCCTACCATCAGCCGGTCAAGGAAAGAATCCTTTCAAGAAAGTGAAGATTGCTACCGGTGGCCAGAGGGGAGAGGCTGCAGAGCAGTTAGACGGCTGTTTCAGAAGGACCTCACCAGCCTGGAAGCCATGTCAGAAATGGAAGCAGGAAGTCCAGGTATGTTTCAAGTCTCTAGATTACATGTCTGTATTTTTTTTTCCATCCAAATAAGTTTTGGTATTTTCAGTAATGAGCTATTTAATGTGATTATGTTAGGGTTTATAATGCTATAATTGGGTGACTTCAACATATTTCAGACATTGGGCTACAGAATAGGGTACTGTCCCACAAAAAAAGTAAGGCTCGTTTTTACATTAGTAAACACTTTACAGAAGAGGGTCATATACCCTTGGAGGTCATACTGTAATTTACGAGTAATGTGTATGTATTTTCACGTTCATAATTTTAATTTTAAAGTGTGTTCAGAATGTACATGACAATTTAAAACTAAAAATATTTAATGCAAACACAGGGTGTAGGCTGCATATATTCCAAAGAGAGGGAGGGAGAGAGGAACTTTGGGGGAAAAGGAGACGCTGAGTTGCTGTTTAACCAAGTTCACACAGTACTAAACTTCATTTCTCAGTGACTTCACATGCTTTATAGTAACTATACAAAGTGGTTGTGTGTTTTTCTAAAAGGTGCAAGTAGCTGTTCTATAGCAATTATTCCTCAAAACAAGAAAGTTAATTGATGTATTTACTGAAGTGAAATAAAAGTCGTGCATTGGATGCAAAAGTGTAAAAACTGTTTATAGTATGAAATTGGATTTAAAAATTGCCTCTTTTTTTTTTTTTTTTTTTTTTTTTAAGAAAGTGTCTTAATGTGTAGTGCTGACTGGCCTGGAACTTGCTGTTTAGACCAGACTGACCTCACAGCCATCCTCCTGCTTCTTCTTCCTGGACTAGGGTTTAAAGAACCATAAAAAGAACCATTGCAGTACTAATCTGTGAGCTGAACAGACTAGAAAGGCTGTTGTGTAGGATGCCAGAGTGGCGTGGAGCCACAGTCCTGCAGATTGGCTAGCTGCAGTTTGGAGAGGTTAAAATTGTCCAGACTTGTTCATGCAGTGCTGGATGGAAAAGTGGGACTCAAATGAAACAGAAATCGGGGTTCATTCTGTCACTGTGACCATTACCTCAGGCTTGTAGGACCTGGGATCCTGATGAGGAAATTGAGTATGTATTGGTGGTTTCTGGGCTTTTGACTTTTTTGTTTTGTTTTTTTGTCTTTTGTTTTTTTTTTTTAATAAGTTTTGTGCATACCTTACGTATGTCTATATTATAGCATCCATGTAGGTGTGGATACTAAATTACATTTGTCGTATGGAAATTAAAAAATTCAGGTATGTGTGTGTTACCTGCTTGCAATCTCAGAACTAGGGAGAATAAGGTGGGAGGATGGAGAATTTGAGGCCAGCCTGGACTACATGGCAAGACCTTGGGGAGGGGATGATCTTTGAAAATCATTTTTAGGTCAGGTGTGGTGGCCCACCCATATAATCATAACATTTGGGAGGTGGAGGCTGGAAGATCAGGAGTTGAAGATGAACCTTGGCTCCCTGAGTGAGTTCCAGGCCAGTCTAGGTTTCAAGAACAAAATAAAATAAACACATGAAAAAAAGAAGGAGGAAAAGGGACTGTTAAGAGTCTCATACTCTACTGACTGAGCTGAGTGGGCCATCTTAAAAAGAACTTTTAAGATGGAGAGTTAAGCCAGGCTGAGTGCCACACACTGATACTCCCAGTACAAGAGGAAGAGGCTAGCAGATCTGTGAATTCGAGGTCAGCCTAGTCTACTTAGTGATTTCCAGGCCAGCCAGGGCTACTTTAGACCCTGTCCAAAATTACTACTGCTACTAGTGATGATTTATTTATAGATCAATGTTTTGTAGCTAGAAATATTAAAGGGACTGATTGCAGACTCAAACCCTCTTACAAGTGCTTTTGCTCAGGAATAACTAGGGAGGTGCCTCAGCAGGTGTGAACGGGAGTACCTTGTCCCTGTATTTGCAGAAGCTCATTTAAGTATGTATGTATGAAGTACAGACATGAGTTTCAAGTTGCCAAGTGAAGAAATTGATAATTTCCCTTGAAGATCTTCATAAAGGAAACATAAAGGTTTTGTGTAAGATTACATATACTAGTGAGGAGTTTAATTTGATGTGTAAATTTGCAGTCGGTGGAAATGAACCGAAGAAAAATCATTAAAGGGACTAAAATGTCTTAAAAAATTTTTTTTTTTCTTTTTGAAACAGGGTCTCCTGTGTAGCTCTGGTGAGCCTGAAACTCTATGTAGTAGATAAGGCCACCCTCAGACTCAGAGAGATCCACCTTCCTCTGCCCTCCTTGTTCTGGTATTAAAGGGATGCACCACCACAGCCTGCAATAAGGATCAATCAAACTATGAGAAGATATGATAAAACTTATATTAAAGCTGATTTTTAAAACTTTAAGTACTGATTTTTTTTTTCTCAATTCTACATTGTTGTCCCTCCCTTAGCCCTCAAATGTCTTAACTGGCAATGTAAAGCATTTGGGACAATGTCATTAATAGGCTGACTGGAAACATCCATTCAAATATCCATTCAAATTCCTCTGTGACTGGAGTGATGTACCATATGCAAATAAGATGTGAGGGACTAGGAAAGCTCACAGACACCTGGGGTTGTGACAGGCCAGGGAGCCTGAAGTCTTCCTGTCAGTGGCTATAGAGCCGCCTTGGGGCTGTTTTGCTGTCCAAGAGCTGCTCCGGGGAGCTTTTCTCACAGTTGGTACCTGCAGGCCTAGATAGCCTGTCAGTTTGTAGGGATTTCTCTTCACTTTGCTTTCTGCCTTATTTTAAATTGCAGTTTAGATCTTTATTTTACCTTGGCCCTGTGTCTTTAGGCAAGTCAGTTAGTTCTCTGAGACTGCTTTTGTTACTATCGGCACAATGGGGCTAATCTCAGCATTGATGTAGGGATTACTATAGGGATCGGAGGAGGCAGGGCACATAAAAGCACTTGCTTTCCTTAGGTTGTGGGATGAGATAGTGATGCATGCTGTTGACATCACCCAGCACTTGGTTCAGCTCTCCCTTGCCAAAAGGAGTAAGTCATGGTCTTGGCCCTCTAGCCTCAGTGTCCCAGTGTTGTAGCAAGAATGCACTACTGATCACAGCTGCAGCTGATAATTAATATTTGATGGATTGTTTTCCCCAGGCTGAGGATCAGTCTTAGTGCCAGTGTGCATGTTGAGCAAGTGTTCTGCTACCTAGCTAAGTTTCCAATCTGGCAATGGCATTCTTTATTTTTTTGTAAGAATTTATTTATTTATTTATTATTTTTATGTGTATGTGTGTGCACACCTGGATGAGTGTCTGTGCAACATCCATATATAGGAGCCCGTGGTACCAGGCCAGAGAGGGCATCGGGTCCCCTGGAACTAGAGTTACAGATGATTGTGAGTCTTCTTAATTGCTGAGCCATGTCCAAATCCAACAGTGGTATTCTTTAAAATCAGAAGTCCTGTATTTCCTTTTCTACCCAGAATTCTTTTCTGCAATTAGCCAATGCATTGCAATTGCTATACTGGTAATGAGTGCCTCTAGAAGCTGGAGAGAGACGGCTTTATGCAAGATCTTTTCTAAGCACTAATTTATGGAAAGCCAGTGAAAACAATTCCATCAGAATTTTTAAAAAGATTTATTTTATTATTTTAATTTATGTAGGTGTGTGCATGTGTGGATGCCTGCAGAGGCTACCTGGGTGCCAGGAACAGAACCCAGGTCCTTGGTAAGAGCTCATTCCACTGAGCCGTCTCTCCAGCCCCACATTCGGAAGTTTAGCTTGAGAATAAATATCATTTTAGCCCCATGTTATGATTAGCATTCATTGTCTTTCAGAACCTGATAGGAGTCCCAAGGCTGCTGACCATAGTTTTTCAAGTTCAGTCCCACAATTCTTATATGCTTCACAGGTTGACGAGTAGTTAGCTTGAATTTATTTATTCACTAAGGATTACAGAACTAACAAAGAATTCATAACACATTTATTTAGGCTAAACTTTGATTTTTAACTGCCAATTGTTTTTTCTGGTATGGCATGTGCTCATTCTGTCGGTGGTATGTTTAAAAAACAAAAGCAAAAGTGAAGTGGGAACTGTGTGTTCTCACTAAGTAAAACTTTGGCTTGAATTTTTTCTTAATAATGAAGGAACTCCACAATTATGATTAAAGGCTAAATTTGTAGCTAAATGACTTTATTTGAATCACATAAGAAAATGATCAATTTCTGAGTTCTCCAGGTGCATGCAATATTGTCCATTCTTCCCTACTGGGATTCTTCACTTTAAAAAAATCAAAACAAATATGAATACTTTTTACTAAAACACCAGGTACATTTACAATTTGGTTGGAAATACTATGTATGTATATATCAAGTGTATTAGAATTACAGTTATATCTGCCTTCAGCGGGAGGCTTTTACTGTTGCATAAGTGTGCTCAGCAGCCTAGTGTGGGAGGAGATAAAATCAAATTGTACAGAAAACAATCCTTTTTCATTGCCGTGGTGTATGTGGATGGGGGAGCATGGAGAGCCGCCTCCCCTGTGGTTTAGTGTTCAGACATCACTTGTCCTATCACTGAAATAGTTCATAGGCGCTCGGGATAGGCACGGGGTCCAGCGCTTGCCCATGTGTGTGAGGACCTGGGTTCAATCCCTGGTGCTGTGTGTAAGTAAGTGAATTCGAAGGAAGGAAGTTCTTACACTCGAAGTGATGGTATTTAACACTGTCAATATTGTCCCCTAACTTAAGAAACCAAGAAACAGCGGTCCAGACCTCGGAAGCCACGAAGGACTAGAAATGAGGAAAGTGAGCAGGATGGAGAGTTGGAAGGTCCTGTGATCGATGAGTCTGCACTTTCAACAAAGGAACTTCTGGGCTTGCATCAGGCTGAGGAACGACTCAAGAGAGACTGCATTGACAGGCTAAAAAGGGTACCATCTTTATGCATATGTTTGCTAGAGCATGTCTGTGTTTTCCTTTACACTGTGTTAGTGATGCAGCATTTGCCTCAGTGGATTAGGCTTTCCACTTCTTTATCCTTGTGTAAGTCTGTGTGTTGAGGGATATTCAGTGTGATTTAAGAAAATCAAGACAAAACTGTCCATTTTGAAAGTGATGGGGGAAACCATCATTCTGGCTAATTTTGTTTCTCTAAATGTTTGGAGATATATCTTTCTGTCAATCTTTTCAAACTGTAGCGACCACGAAGTTGCCCTACAGCCAAGTACACCTGCAAGCTGTGTGATGCTCTGATTGACTCCATCCCATTTGCTCATAAGCACATCAAGGAGAAGAGGCACAAGAAGAACCTCAAGGTGAGTCTCTGCAGCTGCTGTCTCTGTGGCCTTCCTAAACCCTGTAGATACTGGAATCAAACCACTTGCTGAATTTAGTTTCGCCAGAGTACTTCTCCACTAGTTAGATGTGTTTGCTGGGTAGCCCTGTGAATATCCTCAAATACAGGGTCAGGATATAGGAAGCCACTGGGGAACCTAGGTGTTCTTCTGTAAGTAAGGTGCATAATGTCTGTTGTATTCTTGCCTGCTCTTTTTTTTTTTTTTCAAGATTTATTTATTTTATTATATATACAGTGTTCTGCCTGCATGTATCCCTTCAGGTCAGAAGAGGGAGCCGGATCTCATTACAAATGGTTGTGAGCCACCACGTGGTTGCTGGGAATTGAACTCAGGACCTCTGGAAGATTAGTCAGTGCTCTTAACCTCTGAGCCATCTCTCCAGCCCCTTGCCTGCTCTTTATTATCCATATTAAGTACACAGAGTGTGTGTTTGATAGGAAGAAGACATGTCTGAGATAAGGAAGGCTGTGAAGAGTCCAGAACATTCTGTAGGGTACTGTCATGGTGAAAAGTGAAAGGTAACTGCTGCCTATGAGTCCTTTGTAATCTTGCTGTTGATCTTACAAGGAAAAGCAGGAGGAAGAGCTGCTCACCACGCTGCCCCCGCCAGCGCCCTCCCAGATCAGTGCAGTTGGCAGCGCCATTGACAAAGTGGTGCAGGAGTTTGGTTTGCACAGTGAAAACTTGGATCAGAGACTAGAAATTAAGCATGTCATGGAAAGTGTGTTCCAGCACAAACTACCAGGTATTTCCTAGATTTGTTTTCCTATTTATCATCTAAGGATACCTCATGGTTAAGTCACTTTCACCTAATAAGAATTCACTTATGGCCGGGCACAGGACTGCTGCCTGTAATACCAGCTTATGGAGGCTGAGGCCTAGGGTCCCAAGCTTGAGGCCAGCCTGGGCTACATAGCAGACCCTGTCTCAAGAAACAAGACATCATGAGGACTTTTTTGCTACATCGCAAAGCGCCTATTTTTAGTGCCCTGGTGGTGGTGGTTTTTTGGTGTGTGGGTGTGGGTGGCGGCGGGGGCTGGGTGGGTGGGAGGCTGGGGGCGTGTTGGGGAGCATTCATTGCGTTCATTTTGTTTCGTTTCCCTTCTTCCAGTGTGCTAGGCTGGTCTGAAATTTGCTAAATGTAGTCCAGGGTAACCTTGAACTCATGAATCCCCTCCCATAGTTTCTTGTATGCTGAAATTATAGGCATGTACCACCACATCTAGCTCGTGTGTGTGTGTGTGTGTGTGTGTGTGTGTGTGTGTGTGTGTGTGTGTGTGTGAGAGAGAGAGAGAGA